CCGCTTGGACTACTGCAGTGCGCTCTACGTGGGGCTACCTTTGAAGGTGACCCGGAAACTACAACTAATCCAGAATGCGGCAGCTAGACTGGTGACTGGGGGCAGCCGCCGAGACCACATAACACCGGTCTTGAAAGACCTACATTGGCTCCCAGTACGTTTCCGAGCACAATTCAAAGTGCTGGTGTTGACCTTTAAAGCCCTAAATGACCTCAGCCCAGTATACCTGAAGGAGCGTCTCCACCCCCATCATTCTGCCCAGACACTGAGGTCCAGCCCGAGGGCCTTCTGGCGGTTCCTTCATTGTGAGAAGCAAAGCTACAGGGAACCAGGCAGAGGGCCTTCTCGGTGGTGGCACCCGCCCTGTGGAACGCCCTCCCATCAAATGTCAAAGAGATAAACAACTACCTGACATTCAGAAGACATCTGAAGGCAGCCCTGTTCAGGGAAGTTTTTAATCTGTGATATTTTAGTGCATTTTTGGTTTCTGTGGAAGCCGCCCAGAGTGGCTGGGGAAACCCAGCCAGATGGGCGGGGTACAAATAACAAATTATTATTATTATTATTATTATTATTATTATTATTATTATTATTAGTGATCTGGGGGCTTAAATTACAACTTGCAAGAGCCCAGTTTAACACACGTACCCTTTTCCTGAGTTCGCCTTCTACCTGACTGAGCCTAGTTAGTCTTCCATGTTATTTGAGACTCAAAAGCAAAACACAGCTGCAAACCAATTGGTGATCACAGTTGCATGATGGAAACTCACAAATGGAAGCACACCTTTCCCCTCAAAGCACTGGTTTTCAACCAGTGTGCTGTGGCACCTGGGGTGACTGTTCCTCAAAATGTTCAGGAGAGCCCGGGGGGGGGGGCATCCTTTCATTAACTTGCGGCCCATATCTTCCTGCATTCTCTCTCTCTCTCTCTGAGGAACATTCAAGGGAGCTGGCAGCTATAACTTGCAGCTCATTATCTTCCCGAAATAAAATACTGGGAAGAAAAGTGGGAAAACCCTTTTGCACAACTGCTTACTGTATCTTCTTAAAATCTTTTCTCCCCCTCCCACAAACAAAAATCCCCCCCAGCTTCAGTAACTAACAGTTCCTCAGTTTTACACAGAGGGCTTGAGAAATGCAAGAAATTAGTAAACTAGCGTGAGGGTGTGTGTGTTCTCTATAAGGAGGGATTTAAAAATAACCCTGAAAGTTTCTCTCCTACCCCCAACATCCCTCCCCCTGCAGGCATCCCCCTCCTCCTTAATGGTCACCCAGCTTTGTGGAGACAGGGAGAATGTTGTAAGAAAGGACCACGTCTGCCTCTGTGTCTTGTGCTGTGTGTCTCGCTTTCCTTCCTCACAGTAACAAAATATGTCTGCTTCTGATCTTCGTCTTGTTTTGCTCTCTCCACCCCCCACCCATGTGCACACTAATTTTGGGAAAGGCAGGCTGGGGCTGCCATGTGGAGTGTCAGCTCGGCCCTGTAAAGCAGTGGTGTTGCTTGGGATCCCATCGACACATGCACTTCCACTTATACGCGCGTCAAAAAGGGTGGAATGGGGTGGGGTGGGGACAGTAGAGGGAAATTCCTGTAACGGAACCCCAGGGTAAGTGGCTCCCACAGGGGAGCCACAGAAAGAATGAGGTTGGTCAAGGGAGCCATGGACTCAGAAAGGCTGAAAACCTCTGCCTCAGAAATTGTAGGCACTGTAGCTTACTCCTCACAGTTACAGTTCCCTGCATTCTACCCCTACAAATGACAGTGTGCAGAATTCTTTTTTTGGCGGTGTGTGTGTCTGTGTGCTTTGAATGTGCTTTTTAGGGTAGTGTGTGTCCACAGCCTGAGTGAGGAAAGCTTTGGAGCACTTTTTATGTAGGGAAAGTGAAAAGGGATTGTGCTGCTTTAGCTTGCATGAAAAAAGTGCTAGGAGACAGCACAGAGGAAAGAGGGAGGACCACTGAGAGGAGGAGGACACAGAGAAGCAGCAGGTACACATTTCAGCCAAGGTGTTTCCTGCATGTTTCTTTGGGAGCTGTCTGGTATACAAATGTGTCCATACCGCATTGTTCCGCCAACAGGCTTGGTGACTAGTATGGAGTGCAAGACAGCTGCGCAGTCTCTGGAGGTGACTACCTCTTATCACCTCTTAAAAGTTTACACAGATCTTTATTTGAATGCTTCTTGGTCATTTCCCTTCCTCCCTGCAATCAATTGAAGTCACCTGGTAGGGCAGTGAACAAATGTTAATCTCACCTTCCTATAAAATCCAAGTGTCTTCTGAAATGTTTTTTGGGGGGTGGGGGCCTGAGGTTACAAATGGCTGTCTTCACATTTACAGCAGCCACCTCTGGAATCAGTGCTAGATGTTAAAGGTGTGGTAGTGGAAGAGGAAACTGTATTCCTGTATGTGAGGAACGGCATCCTGGAGAGTCTCCTCCTGGGCTAGAGCTGGGTGCCCAATTCACTTTGGTATGTATCCGGTCTCCTGATACAGTGCTGCTGGCTTCTGCTTCACGGGCGGCCCACGAGGAGGCTGGGTGAATAGACTGAAACTGCCTTGGTCGCGCTGGTTGATGATCTCCGGTGGGCTAGGGACAGCTAGACTGGTGACTGGGGGCGGCCGCCGAGACCGGTCTTGAAAGACCTACATTGGCTCCCAGTACGTTTCCGAGCACAATTCAAAGTGTTGGTGTTGACCTTTAAAGCCCTAAACGGCCTCGGCCCAGTATACCTGAAGGAGCATATCCACCCCCATCGTTCTGCCCGGACGCTGAGGTCCAGCGCCGAGGGCCTTCTGGCGGTTCCCTCATTGTGAGAAGCAAAGCTACAGGGAACCAGGCAGAGGGCCTTCTTGGTAGTGGCGCCTGCCCTGTGGAACGCCCTCCCATCAGATGTCAAAGCGATAAATAGCTACCTGACATTCAGAAGACATCTGAAGGCAGCCCTGTTCAGGGAAGTTTTTAATCTGTGATATTTTAGTGTATTTTTGGTTTCTATGGAAGCCGCCCAGAGTGGCTGGGGAAACCCAGCCAGATGGGGGGGGTACAAATAATAAATTATTATTATTATTATTATTATTATTATTATTATTATTATTATTATCATCATCATCATCATCATCCCCAAGCCCCAGTCAAGGGGAAAGAGATACTACTCAGAAGGATATTTGAAATGGAGAGACGGCACAGTCTTTTGAGAAGCAATGACTTCCAAGAATGGTTTGACCAAACAAAACAAAAAGACGAGGCAAATAAAGAGTCAATCAGTTCCTTTTGGAAAACTGTTATAAGGACATGCAATGAAATTCAACCAAGGGGAAGCGAGGAAGTCACTTAACAATGTGAACAAGTGTAATTTTCAATAAGGCTATGATTTATGTTTGTTTGTCTTATGTGTTTGTTTATAATGTTGTGAAAACCATTTTTTTCATTAAAAAAATATAAATAAAAAAATCAGTTCCTTTCACTGTGTCACTTCAGATTGAACTGATTAGGGTTGGGATATTAAAAAACAACGAGAAAAGGCAAACAACGCCTGGGCATAAACTAGAGACTTATACACATGTATCAATCCACAGGATTGATGATCAGGCTGGGCTGTCACTGCTCCACCACACGTCAGGATTGTATCTCACGTGAAAATGTAAAGGTGGTCTCTCTCTGTGAGTGTTTTCCTTTCCGGAAAACATTTTGCTCTTTAACTTAAATTTCATTTAAAAGAATGGCACCCAATGATTTAATAATACAGTATGTTGCCTTCCTTATATGTGGCACGGGGCAGAAAGAGATGCAGAAGGAAGTCTCCTTATACTGACTTGCGATGCGCCCGTGGAAGGTGGATTATTACTGTTCCAGGATCCCGGAGGGCCTTCCATTGACGCCCATTTCCCAGCTTTGGCACTGACTTGGCTTCCAAGGTACGGCTTTGGAAAGAGAGCGTGTGCAGAGCGCCTAACTTACACGCGCCGGCGCACGGACAGAGGGCGGAGAAAGCCTCGGCGGGGTTCGCCAGAGCGCCCTCGGGCTGGCGAGAGGAGGCGGTGCTGCGGATGCCCCGTCGGAGGCGCGCCGCCGGCTTGAGCGGGGAGCGGAGAGCGCGCGGGTCTCGGCGGCCAGGCAGGGTGGGCTGGGACCCGGAGCCCGGCGGGGGGCGACCGGCGAGCTGCTGCAGGAGCCCCTCCCGTTGTTGCTGCCGCTCTCTCCAGCGCCCGTCACTTGCTAAGTAATAATTTCCCTGTCCAATTCCATTCCTTTTCTAGTTCTGAAATCTCGAAGCCATCAGCAAGGAGGATAGTTCACATGAAAACTAATTACACAAAATCAATATTTAATCACAGCCCAGCATCCTGATCCTGCAGAAAAATCCTTTAAAAACTCTCCTGCCATATACAAAGACTTATTCGGGGCCGCTTATTTATAGATCTCCTGGGGGAGGCGGGGGAAGCGCCCGCGGTGCATTGGAAGGGCGGGGAGGCGCACCCCTTCTTCCCGGGGACCCCGAAGGAGCAGGCCGCGCGCTGGTCTCTGCTGGGGGGGGGGCGCGCCTAAACAATTTGCTTGCTCGGGGCTCCGGCGCGGGAGAGAAATCTGTGCTGGGCGGGTGGAGTTCAGCCCCCGCGGAGGTCAGCGGGCGAGGCGCGCTCGCACCCAGGCGACGGGGATAAATATTTCAGAAAGAGCCGCGCGGCTATTAAATGACACCCGATTGATTCGGGGCTGCCGGCCCCTTCGCCCCCCGCCGGCCCACTAATTGCTCTCTTAAGGAGGCGCCGCTGGGGCGCAGCCCGGCCGCCCAGCCCGCCGGCAGCAGGCGCTGGAGATACTCGGCGGCGGCTCCCTTTGGCGGGGGGGCGAGGCCGGGCGAGCGCGCGGCCGGGAGAGCCACCTTAAGGAGGAGCCCCGCCCCGCCGGGCGCTCATTGGCGCAGCCCGGATGGCTGGACGCGGCTGCTGAAATGCAAAACTTGTTGCTGTTTCTTGGGCGCGGGCGGAGAGCGAGCGAGCGCAAAAGAGGCAGGCAGGCGGGCGGGCGAGCGAGCGGGCGCCTGGCAGCGGCAAGGCGACGAGGACGCCCGGCTCAGCCTCCGCGGGCCATGAGGCGGAGCGCGCCTCCCGGCCAGCCGAGCCCGTGAGCTGCGGCGCCGGGCAGCAACTTTCCCGCAAGATGTGAGCCGGGCGCGCGGGGCGTCCTCCCTCCTCGCGCGCTTCGCTGCAGCAGCAGCAGCAGCATCAGCCCCCGGCTGGCTGGCCGGCCGCCCGTCATGGCCCCCCAGTGACGGACCGACCCGGCCGGCCAGGGACCGAGGCAGCAGCGGCGGGATGTTCGGGCTGGAGCAGTTCGAGCCGCAGGGCAGCGGGCGGAGCGGCGAGCGCGGCGGCGGCGGCGGCGGGGGCTTCGGGCCGGGCATGGGCTCGCACTTCAAGCCGCCCCCCTTCCACGGCGGGACCCCCGGAGGCGAGGCGGGGACCCTGGGCGCCCTGAGCGAGCCCGCCTCGGCCATGCTGGCCATGAACTTGAACTTGCCCGGGGAGGCGTACGGCTTCCACGCCTCCCGCGGGGGCCACGCGGACCTGCAGCAGGCCCAGCCGGTGCACGGCTTCTTCGGCGGCCAGCAGCCTTCGCACGGCGCCCACCAGCAGCCGCCGCCGTCGCACTTCGGAAGCGGCGGCTTCGGGGCCGAGCCCAGCGCCTCCTGCCTTCACGGCGGCCGGCTCCTCAGCTACCCAGGCGGCCAGCAAAGCTTCGCTGCCGACGGCTACGAGCAGCATCTGGCGGAGGGCCAGGCAGGCGCGGACGGCTTCGGGCAGCAGAGGGCAGGGCCCCTCCAGGACTTCCAGCCGCCGCCGCAGCAGCACCACAACCCCGGCGTGCCGGCGCCCTGCCTGCCGCTGGATCAGTCGCCCAACCGCGCGGCCTCCTTCCACGGCCTGCCAGGAGCCGCCACCTCGGAGCCGCACGGCCTCGACTCGCAGAGGCGTCTCCCCAGCCAAGCAGCGGCCGCCGTGGAGACCCTGGAGTACAGTTACCCGAGCGGCGAGAGTCATTTCGACCTGCCCGTCTTCTCGCCGTCGGAGGCCGACGGGCAGCTGCCCCACTACGGGGCCAGCAGGCAGCAAGTGCCGCCAGGCGGGGGGAACTTCCCCGGGCCCTCCTCGGCCTTGCCCCGAGGGCCCGGCGGCCTCGGCAAGGTGCACCCCCAGCAGCAGCAGCAGCAACAGCACGGCGGCGGCGTGTTTTTCGAGAGATTTGGGGGCGCTCGCAAGATGTCGGTGGGCCTGGAGCCGAGCCTGGGCACAGGCAGGCACCCTTTAATGCAGCAGCCCCCGCCGCCGGGGGCCCTGCTGGCCAGACAGAACTCGTGCCCGCCGGCGCTGCCCCGGCAGCAGCCGTGCCCCGAGGGCAACGCGGCCAACCCCGGCCTTCAGGACGGCGGCCCCCTCCTGCAAGGCCAGCACGCGCAGTTCGAGTACCCCATCCACCGGTTGGAGAACAGGAGCCTGCAGCATCCTTACGGGCCGGGCGAGCCGGTCTTCAGCGTTCACCACCACCCGCCGGCTCAGCAGCCTCCCAGCCAGCGGCTGCAACACTTCGACGCCGCCCCCTATATGAACGTGGCTAAGCGGCCCCGCTTCGACTCCTGGAGCGGCGGCGGCAGCGGCGCGGGCATGCACAGCGCCAGCCTGGACAGCCACCTCTCGCCCTCGGCCGCCTACCCGGGTCTGCCGGGAGACTTCACGCCGCCGGGGCCCGAGAGCTTCCCGCCGCCGGGCGCCGACCACCAGGCGGCTCTCCAGCAGCAGCAGCAGCAGCAGCAGCGCCAGAACGCCGCCCTGATGATCAAGCAGATGGCGGCCTCTCGCAGCCAGCAGCAGCAGCAGCAGCGCCTCCGCCAGCCCAGCCTGCAGCAGCTGAGCCACCACCACGCGGGCCACCACCACCACCACGCGGGCCACCACCACGGCGAGCCCGCCTTCGAGGCGCAGGAGGGCGCCTGGTTCCCGGCGCCGCATCCTCCCTCGGCTGCGCCGGGCGCAGGGGACTTGCTCTTCCGGCCAGGCGTGGGCGGCATGCCGGGCTTGCAGGAGCCGCCGCCGCCGCTGCGGATTCCGTCGGGGGGCGAAGGACACGTGCCCTCGCCGGGCAGCCTGCACGGCCAGTTCGGCCTGAGCCCGCCCTCGGAGCGCAGCAGGCCGGGCCCGCCGGACTTCGCGGCCCAGCAGGGCTTCCCCTTCGGCGCCTCCAGCCGCCAGGCCACCCCGCACAGCGCCTCGCCCGCCTCCTACGGGCCCCCGACGGACTTCCAGCCCTCTGGGCCGCCGCCGCCCCGGCCGCCGCAGTCCAGCAGCAAGCTGGGCGCGCTGTCTCTAGGCTCCTTCTCGAAAGGGAGCGTGGCGGGCGGGGTGGCGGGGCCTCCCGGCGGCGGCGGCGGGACCCCGGGCCCCAAGGAGAGCAGCGGCCTCTTCGGGCAGAGCTGCCTGGCGGCCCTCTCGACGGCGTGCCAGAACATGATCGCCAGCCTGGGCGCGCCCAACCTCAACGTCACCTTCGGCAAGAAGGGCGCTCCGGCCGCGGGGAGCGGAGGCGTCGGGGCGGGGAGCGAAGGCCCCAAGCGGAGCAAGCTGGGCCCGGCCGAGCCTCCAGAGCCGGGCAGCGGCGGACCTCAGCCGCCCGCGCCGGCCCCGCCGGCCCCGGGCGAGAGCGGCCTGTCCCCCAATTACTCGCCCGGCCCGGGCCCCGACGCCAAGGCAGGAGGCGGGCGCGGTCGGGGGCGCAGGAAACGGGACAGCGGGCACGTCAGCCCGGCCGCCGGAGGGGGCGGCGGCAGCAGCTTCTTTGACAAGTACGGCCCCACGGCCGGGGTGGAAGGCGGGAGTCCCGGTCAGGGGGCAGAAAGAGGGGGCGGCACTCCGCATCTCCACGAGCCCCACAAGGCGCTGAGCTCGCCCCCGTCGGCTTGGGCCAAGGGAGGCGGCGGCGGCGGCGACCTCCTCCTGCCTCCGCCGCCTCTTTCCGAGCAGCCCGAGCTGCTGCCCGCCCTGGAGAAGGCGGACTCCTGCTCGCCCCGCGGCGCAGGCGACTTCCCCGACGAGGCCGGCAACGAGGACGAGGTGTCGTCGAGTTCCGACAACCAGCTGGCCAAGGGCTGCCCGGCGGGGCGCAGCCCGGTGCAGCCCCGTCCGGGGGACCACGCACTACTGAACGGACAGAAGGCCTCCCTGGCCCAGCTCAGCCTCCACGCCGGCGCAGGCAGCAACTCTACCTCCAGCTCCGACAGCTACGGCGGCGGCCCCCCCGCCGGCGCCCCGGTGCAGGACGAGATCCACCCGCTGGAGATCCTGCAGGCGCAGATCCAGCTGCAGCGGCAGCAGTTCAGCATCTCCGAGGACCAGCCGCTGGGCCTCAAGAGCGCCAAGAAGCCCCCCGAGGGCCCCGCCGGAGCCGCGGGCGGCGGCAGCCAGAGCGGCGACAGCGCCGAGCTGAGCAGCTGCTGCGCCGCCGTCGAGAGCGGCAAGGGCGCCATGAGCACCATCGACCTGGACTCGCTGATGGCCGAGCACTCAGCCGCCTGGTATCTGCCCAGCGACAAGGCCCTCCTGGAGGGGCAGGACGACGACGACAAGGCCCTGGCGCCCTGGGAGAAGGCCAAGCCGCCCAACCCCAGCAAAGAAGGTACGGGGCGCGCGGAGGGGGGGGCTTCTGGGGCGCCCCTTCCAGGCAGATGCTGTGCAGAAAGGGGGCGGCAGGAACCCCCTTGCAAGGCTAGGCCAGCACAACCCGAAGGCAGGTGGGAAGTGGACTCCAGCCCCTTGGCGGCCGTGGCCTTCCTGGCTCCCGGGCAGGTGGAGGAGGAAGCAGGCTGCGGGAGGATCAGCCGCAAAAACCTGCGCCAACTAATGTCGGCCCCGTTCCCTCCGACCCCCCCCCTGCCTTTCCTTGTGCTTGAGAAATGGGGGAGGAGCGGCAGATGGCCGAGCTAGTATTTTTGTGTCTCTGCCGCACTGCCTGTGTGATGTGCAGGGTAAGTTTCCAACAATGGGATGTATGTTCTTGCCAGGATAGCTGCTTTAGGAAAAGCCAGCTTCTTGGAGGCTCATGTGTGAATGATCCCTTTGAGGTGTCCCACATGTGCCCTTTGCTGTGCTGGGGTTTTGCTCCCTCCGCCCCTGCAGAATTATCAAAAGGTACTCATGGCGACATCACGTAGAGCAGGCTCTTCCAGCATATTTTCCTGACTCTTTCAAATAAGCGCAGTGCGTTGCATACACAAATGCACTTCAGTAGCATTTAAGTAAGAGAGGAAAGGAACTGTATGCCTGGTTAAATTTCTTCATTCATCTTAGGAATCTCTGGTTTTCTTCTTGTTCCTAAGGTGCATTTGATTTATTCCAATTCAGGTGTTGCGTTGAAGTAATTAAATATAGCAATAAATAAAAAAGTTAGAGGAGCAGACATTGCTTAGTTTTTCATTTTTAGGTCAGACTTAAAATGTGTTGAGGGCTAAAGCTAGGCAGTTGCAATGCTCTTCTTCATTTGGTGGAACTCTTGGTTGGTGAGTGGAAAGGCAGGGCAGCAGGACCTGGGGAACTGTGACCAGGCACTTCTTCATTCGCTCATTAGTATGGGGAATTCAGGAGATGGGTAGGATCCCTGTGAAACATGATAAGGAGCTGACTACTGGGGAATACTAGCCATCGGTCTTCCTTTTTTGTGGTTGTTTTTCCAGCATCTGCTCAGAAAAAGTTTTTGTTTTGCTTTGTTTTGAGCCTTGTGTTTTTAGGGTATGTGGAAAGGTTTCTAGGAGGCTGTTTGAGAAACTCCCCGCTCCGCTGGCTTTCGTGTCTTTGGCTTTGTCAAATCTGAATGCTGCCTTTGCTGTTTGTCTCTTTGTTCCCTGGCAATGCCAGTGGCAGGGAGCTTCTTTTTCTGAGGCAGAGAGTGCTTAGCATGCGCGGCAGATGCCGGGAAGCCCATCAGCATTCTTCAGGCTTCATCCAGGCAAGGACATAAATTGGTTTGTTTGGGGGGCTGCCTTTTCCATTTTTAAATGGAGTTTCACACAGCATCCTTCCTGGCTCCTTCTTTTATTGTTTCTTGTACACAACATCTAGATCTGACTGGATCAATAGCTAGTTAGCACAAATCACAGCTCCCGTCACCTCTACCTTGCCAGACACACACCTAAGTGCAGACATGCACACACTTGTTCCCTATAAGTACAATCGGATTGGAAAGGAGAGAAATAACTTGACCATCTTAATTTGTTTCTAAGAAACACACAGGTGAAAAACTTCTGAGCTCTGTTTTGCTTCATATCAGTGATGTTTTGAGGTCACACACTGGCCACAATCCAGCAAAAGAGTTAGGCGGGTTTAAGCCTGATATTTGCATGATTTTCATTTCCAATGATTCCTGCCATTGTTATGTGATTTATAACAACTTTAAAGGCAGCAGCCCTTATTGTTCATACCATGCTAAAAAAAGGCACTGTCACCTAATCTGCCAGCTTTCTGAGCAGAAAGCTACCATCGTATTATTGGGTCTAAAGTTAAACGTAAGATACTGATCTAACTTTGCCAATGGTATGAGTAGAAAAACGTAGCCAATTTCTGAAAATTTGTCCTCAAGAAGGCTAACAGAGGTATGTAGAGAATTACAGTAGGTGTTCTTGTCAAAGGTTACCAAATATTTCAGGATTTATGCAGCTGAACAAATGAACCATCTACAGGAGGGAAAGGGGCACTCTTTACATCTTTTTTTTTTAAAAAAATCTGCCAAATATAATATATTTATTTTGCTCCAAAGACCCACAAAAACATTTTCAAAAGCAAAATAAAACAGAAAATCAGGGAAAGGATTCCAAGGCAGTCACTCTGCTTTATCCAGAGCATGTAGGTTTCTATTTCTTATTACTTCCGAGAGGACAAATATATATTAGAAGTCAACCAGGACCTTTAAAACAGAGCCTATTCTCACTTTGCTGCTGCATCATTTTTTAAAAAAATGATACATAAAATGAAACAAAGCTAAACATTTATTTTGAAGTGTTCATGCAGTGCAGTGCTGCTATTCTGTGAGTTTGTGAGTGAAGAATAATGGGATTGGAAGCTACTGGACTTTGGAAGTTAGGCTGTGCCTTGTTCCTGAGGATTTCTTGGAAACACTTGGTCATTAAGAACTTCAGACATAGGCATCTTCCTTTTTTCCAAGCTTAGCTGCAGTTTAACATCGACTGCAGTGTAAGAATTCATCTCCACCCACCCCTCTCTCTCTGTGTGCGTGTCATCTATCCCATAGCTATTCTAATTATAGCAGTTAACAATCTGTGAAGACCTTTTCTTACTGGAGAAATGCACTGTTGAAATCAACTACCATATCTCATTTTTGTTTATTTTATTTGTATAGATGTGTTTTTAGGTTTCTATTGGTTTTGTTATAATTGGCTTTAATGTTTATGCTCTTTATGTAAGTAGTTTTGGGTCAGTTTTGTGAGAAAAGTGCTTAGTAAATATAAATAATGTTATATATCTGAAGGCAGCCCTGTTCAGGGAAGTTTTTAATATTTAACGCTGTACTGTTTTTAACACTTGATTGGGAGCCGCCCAGAGTGGCTGGGGAAACTCAGCCTCATGGGCGCGGTATAAATTATTATTATTATTATTATAGTTTAAAATTAGTTTGTGTAGATATAACACATGGATCTATATTTATGAATAACCTTGTTGAATTTGTGTATGTCAGAAATTTAATACAGATCTGATACAGGTTTAAAACTCTAGGAAGCCAAAATAAGCAAAACCCATACCTTTTTTTAAAGACTGGACTACAATCTTCCATAGTGACTCCTAGCAGCAAAGGATGACATTTCAGTAGCAAACATCTGATAGGGCCATTTACAGTTAAAACAAACTTGGAAAGGCAGTATCAGTTTATCTATCTGTCCTTTGCTCTGGAACAGTTCCACAAAACTCAATGGGAGTGTTTCTGAGATGAATGGAGTGAGGAGGTATTCTGGGTTACAGTCTCAGGGCTGTTTCCCATGTGGCAGCAGGGAGAATTCTGTATATTTTGCTCCTACTACTCACATTTAGAAAGTATCGTAGAGCAGAATGAGACCTTTGTACCATTTATATGCATGGCGGTGTACACATTTTATTTCTAAGTGGAATTTATCTTTGAGTATAAAAATACCAGTATGGAGTGATGCTAGATTCTGTCTAGAAATAAGCTCCCCTGCATTCGGATCCTAGACACCTTCCTGAGAAGGAAGTTTCCTCTTATTTACTTGGGAGTATATTGCCAACTTAAATCAAGGTGACATTTTTTCTTGTTTGGGTATATAGAGTCACGTTTGTTGCACACGCTATTTCTTTCATGAATAAGCAAGAAAAGTGCTACAAAGCCCATTCTTTCTGTTCAATTTCTTCTGTCCTCGATTTCTTCATTATAACTTCTTAAGATCCATCTCAGTTGGACACACACCCCTGACGCCGTCCCATAGGAACAGGCAACCTTAAACAACTTAGGTGGCTGTCAGGCAAAATGTAAATAGATGTGGTTACGCTCTGCAGCCGTTGCATTTTTATTCACAGGCCTTTGCAGTGCATTTAGCTCCTGTTTCTTGGTCTGGAAGCATGTCATAGCTCTCATAAACCTGTCCTTGTAACTAGCCAGCACCTTGAGCAGACAGAACTCTGAACGGGACAACCTGCTTAGCATGAAACGTTTATTTGTGCCCTGAATGACGGGCTGGGTGAGTCTGTTGGGCCAAAGCTGAGGCCTCTTTCATCTCCTAGTGTAGTCTTGGGTAGTCTTTATTTTTAAAGTTTCTGATCTGCATGAGGGAATAGCTTCGCTTGTTGAGACTTGTTTATAACTTGCAGAAAATTCCAAGCACCCTCAAAAAACAGTACCGTATTTAGGTTGAAATTGATTTACGACGTAAGAGCTATTATAAACAGGTAACCTGACTAAATACTGCCATTGTCATAAAACTGTGAATCCCAATTATTTGGTTTCAAAGCAGTATTTAAACTTATGTGAGGTATTTTAATAGCATTGACAATGTAGCTTCCATCACCAAGTTGTTACATGATACAGTCCATTGATAATGATCCGGTTTAGTAGTGTGATTTATGATAAAAACTCGCCTGTGGAAAGAGATTAAGATAGTCATGTAGTTCGAGTTTCACATTTAACAAGCTTTAAAAAAAATATTTGTGCAATTTTTTTTTTAAATGAAATAAACCAAACTTCTTTTACGTGATTTGATTTAATTCATTTGTTAGCCAGCGTCATACTTTTGTCTCTCAACAGTGAAGTATTTCACAGTCATTTGATGGGGAAAATACTTCTGGTCAGTCTTTTCATTTGTCTTTCCTGTCTTCTGTTTTCTGCATTTCTGGACGCTTCTCAGGAGAAAATGTGCATAGTTTTATAAAACAGCTGGTGCTGAAGAATTGGGGCTGCAAGTATAGAACGGTTAAAACCTTTCTCCATGTTTATCTGTGAGAATAACTGGAGGTAGCTTACATCTGCTGACTGATATAAGCACAAATACCTTTGCATTGAGTTTAGCCCCCCCCCTTTTTAAAAAAACCTTAAATCTCAGTTTGTGGCACATTTGTGGTGCTACATGTAAACTGGAATTTTAATTTGCACGTCAAATTGGA